GCATTTTCATTCATACTGAAACGACACCTACTGATAGCACTGCTATTGATGTTCACAACATTTCCCGCATATTCTGCTGTTATTAAATCAGGATGCCGAAAACACGGTTTGCTTAAACTCTTTAATTTTGAAAAAAAGAGAAAAAACTAAAAACATAATATCTTCCATTAAAATATGTTAATAAAGATGCTAGCAATGATGAATAGCCGCAAATATCAAATTGAAAAAATTTACAAAAAGATTAATTTTTTCAATAACTTCTTTATTTCTTTCCTTTATTTCGCTTACTTTTTTTTTCTTCCACCAACGATTGAGTTAATAATCTGAAATAATAACTTCATTTTCAATTATTCAGGTACACAATACGTTATCGATGAGCCGGGATGTGATTTAGTGGCAGTAAACGTGAATATGTGCTCCGGTTATTGCATGTCTTTTTCATTTGTTAATCCGGAAGAGAATTCAATTACAGTGCATGGCAGATGCTGCAGAATGGTTGATAATGAATGGGTTTGTTTGTTTATCATATTCAGTTATGAAATATTTTATTTAACCATGGACAATTTCAGATTGAAATTTAAAATTCAGATCAGATAATAGAGATTAAAGATATCAGAAAAGATATCTTCAAGCTATATATAATGAAGATTAAGTTACCTCTTCGAAACTTATTCCATTCATCATCTCATCCAGTACTAATTTTTATAAAATGCAATGAGTTAATAATAGTTGTGAGAAAAAATTCTGAGATCGATTCAAAAGTGATGATCTATAAGTGATAAACGATATTAATGGTAAAGAAAATTGAAAAGTGCTTCCCACTAATTTTTAAATGCTTTTTCATTTTTGCTAATATTTTCGCATTTTCTATTCATATACATTAACTTTTTTTAATAGAACCGACAGTTGTGCATAAATTACTAGTAGAGCAAATTTTAAGTCTGAAATTCAAGTATTACTTAAATTTTCCTTTTAATTTTGTTTCTACAGTTTATGTCTTAGACGGATGGATCTTATCATTAACAATTATTATATAGTGGATCAGTGTGGTAACTTTGATATTATTAAGAAATAACTAAAACGAATAAAAACTTCCTTTTTACAAATTCTCTGTGAAATTGTGTGATTTCAACATAAGTGTAGAAATCAATCATTGGTCAGAAAGATTGCAACCTTTTAAAGGTCAAGCTTGTATCAACATAGCACAATATCTTTTTTCGTGTTTTGAGATGTTCGGATGGTATTTTATGAACGCTTAAATATATCGTAATGTAATCAAATATTGCTTTAGGTAAAAGCGAAGGTATCATGTGAAGGTGGTGATCGAATCATGAGAATTCCTAGTGCAACTGAGTGCAGATGTTTCGATTGCGCTTGAAGCTCGTAAGTAGAATGAGTAAAGGATTAATTTAACATAATTCCTTTTCACTACTTTGTTGGATTCTCTGTTGCAGCTATTCTGCCTATAGAATTACGCTTCTCGTAAAATTTGAAGAGAAGTTGAGAATTTGGAGAGAAATCAAATTTGCTAATTTATTCGAATTATCCGCGCTGATCTATAATCCCAGCTTTACCATTATTTTAAAGTTTACTGTTTAATACATTTCAGCTTACTAAGCCTCTTAATGTGAAGCTATAAAGTTGAAATGCTATGTATCTATTCAAAATATTAAAATGAAGTTAATGAAACTTAAATAGTACGACAAGACTACAACTTGAACATATTGCTGATCAGATATTAAAATGAAAAAAAATTTATCAAATGGGACATTTAAGAGACAAGTTAAATATTTTTCAAAATAAAAATAAAATTTTTACCACAATTAGGAATACTATGTTTGACGAATAATCCCAATTTTTTAAGTTAAATTGTAAATAAAACTGCTATTATATGAGCTCATTTTATTGATCTCATTTGAACTGAAATTTGCTTTGTGACGAAGAAAAAAGAAGACTGAAAGACATTTAAGGCATGACCATTTTCAGCAGTTCACTTTGACAAGAAGTGCAGCTGTCGGAAAAGTTTCTCGTCATTTGTAATTCTACGCTTACTTATTTGTATTTTTTTAAATATTAGAAACTGCTAAACAGTGATATAACATTTTTAAAAATGCTTATAACAACGTTTACATATTTTTTTAAAGCGAGAAAGAAGATCAGTAAAATTGCATTCCATTTTAACTAAAATTTCAAACCTTCTTATCTATTTCAATGGCGATGCTTTGAGTACAAATATAATGGCATTTTTAACCAGCTTCCACTTACTTGAAGTAAAAAAAATCCTGTTACTAAGCATCTTTCACTTGTCTGAATCATGCTTAGCATAATTTTTTTACGATGTTTTGAATTATTCAACTATTCATTGTGAATTATAAACTACTACTTTTAAATCATAAAGAAACTATGACATTTCAATGTGGAAAAATCGGAAAATAAAAATGACATATTATGTGCAAAAAAAGTATTAAAGCTAGCTGTGAAGTAATTGTTAGAATGAAATGCATTGAAATGTAAAATTTTGCATATTTTTTGACAACACATGAGAGATGGCATGTTACTTTGTCAGAATTGCAAGTTCATGAATCTTAATTGGCCGTCTTGTTTGATTAAGAAGTCAAAAAAGTTTACTTGTAATAATAATAAATTTAAATTTAAACGAACCAAAACTTATCGCTTTCGGTGGAATATTTAAATTTCGATATGGAGCAAGAAATAAATTTTTGAAAATTTCCATGATTGAAATCAAATGATAAATAGCAATCTTTTCAGTGAATAATGAATATTTTCTAATTTATGGATATGACTCTTCTGGAAAAATCATTAAAGCTACATTTTTATACCTGTTTAGCATCATATTTATTTTCTCGCTCTCAAAACTTTTTTATTTTCAACTTGAAAGTTTGTGGAAAAAATGAGTGTTAATTGGTTTTTCGCAAATCATTAGCATCACATGCTAATGATTTGCGAAAAACTGCTAGTAATTTTAAAAGACTAATATTTAAATAAATACAAATAAGTCTTATAATAAGTAGTATAATCAAACTATAAGTTATAATTATCAAAATTATAATTAAATCGACATATATCACCTTGTTTACATGTCAGTTCAGACTTCGTGGACTTCTCATTCAACATTGAATGAAATCTGGAATGATGGCATTATGAAGGACAAAGGTGATCGTAGTAGTGTATGCTTGAAAAATAAAAGTTATATAGACAACTATTGATGATAGCATGAATGAAATTGTATGGAATAATGATGATGAATTGTGACACTGAAAATGAAGCTATAAATAAATGAAGACTCGATCACATATGTAGATTTGTATAACTTTATTTTAAAAAATCTTTAAAAATTCTTTCCTAGAAATTTCCACAAATGCACAAAATTCTATAAAAATAGATTTAGCGCTGGTTGCAATATTTAGCTAATCAATATTTATTCATTGATGACGTTGTTTTACTTATAGAATAAAAATATGATACTTGAGAGGGGCAAATTGGATAAGTGAATAGGAGACTGAATAATATGGAAATTTGTAGAAAAGATACTTCCTCCATTCATTGATTTGAAGTAGCTATCAATTTTTATGCTAAATTTCTATACCTAATAGATGATGCTAAGTGTGTACTGTGTTTTTATATTTGTTAAGTTAATAGCGGTGATTTTCGCGTGAATATTATTTTTGATTAAATTTCAAAAAATTGAATAATTGATTTAATCTTCTATCATAATTATCGTATTGAGTCTTTCATCAGAGCAATTTAAAAGATAAAAATTTTCTATCAGGGAAAAATACGTAACTCCAATTTTTAACATTAATCAATTGCAGGTAATGAAAAAAAATTACTTTGGAATATTCTTTCATTACTTACCAATATGTATTACATGTAGTTTAATCATCCACAACACAAGTAAAAGGAACGGACTTATGAAATTATGTCCACCTGGTGGTAAATCGTTTACAACTGTTTGGCATTTATCTTGCGCGATTAAGAAAAAGCGATCATCATCTTTACAAGGTACTAACTTTTCAAGAATTGATTTGAATTATTGCATTACTTTTAAAATCTGATAGAAAAACGATCAAATGAAGAGTTCTTGCAGTGATTCCCAAAGAGAATCAATCATTTTTCTCATAAGTGTTTGTTAGCTTCAGGAAAACAAAAGTGGAAAAAAGTAAGCACTTATCGATCATTATCAATGATTGAAATAATGCATTATTGCTGTAACGTTGGTTGCAATATTAGTGATTTACTTCCATTCTGCCATCCATTTGATGACTGATATTTCTGATATTCAATAAAATTGCTATAAATTTTAGCTGTGCTGTGGATAACAATTATCAGTAAAATGAAAAGATATGTACTTTCTGATCACTTTATTCTTGAAAAAAAAAAGTTTTATTCTTATGTGAAAGCTGATATTTGTAAACAAAAACTGTTGATTTTTGATCGCATATTATTTTGGCTTTTTCCTGCTCTCCTCACATTGCTATAATTCTCGGTTGATTTCCATGGTACCAAACAATTTATCTCACAAATTAATCCATTTATTATTTCAAAAATCATCACACAACATTTATCATAATCACTGAGATCATTAATTTATTTTTTCGAAAAATGAAATTACGAAAATATACAAGCAGTTTTAAGAGAGTATATAAGACAATTACAATCGTTTTTATTTGAAACTTATTAGGATTAAATTTGATTAAGAACATCATTATACGCTGTAAATAAATCTTCACGTGAAGATCATGTAATGATCATAATCAATCACTTACGTAAGATGCTGTGTTTATGAATTTAAAAATTCTTCAGAGTCGTTTAAATGCATTAGTAAGCAGCAAGTAAGTAAATTTTTTTCATCACAACGAAAAATTAACAGAGTAATAAAAGCGATTGAACATGACAGTAAGAAATATACCGTACTTTTGCTGTTACTAAAATAAAATTTGACTTATGCATTGTGACCAATATTATTTCACATAATGCATTTAAAAGTGATAAACAGTATCGTTTTCCATTTTATCATCATGCTTTAATTCTTTCCGTAATTTATAATTACTATCAATTGATAACGGTGATAGCGGTACCGAACGTTGCCGATGCTGCGCTCGCATTTCATTCGTTATGGGCAATGGATTATATGGAATCTGAAACTGTTATAGGAAAAAAACATCAGCATGATGAAATTCATGACATTTTATTGTTTAACATTACTCTTTTGAAGTTTTTAAGTTAAGCAAAAATATTCAAAATAACTGCCTTTTTTTACAATAATTTACAATAACCTAAGAATAACTGCCTTTTTTTCTAAGCTAAGAAACAAGTTATATTTAAATTTCACCTTTTTTTCAAAAAAAAGGCAAGAATTCAAAAACACACATAAATTTGTGACATTCGAAGATTGCCAGCACATGCGCGTAATTTTTGGATACTGGAAACTGAATAATTTAAAGTGCACTTCGCTAAACTATCATAAAATCGGCTTTCAATCATGTCTTTCAAATGCTTCCGAAAACGATTTTGACGCGGTATCAGTACTGCATTCAACTGGTCCAAGCTTACAGACTTATTTGCTCTCTAAAAAAATTCCACTTGAAACTGAAGTCTAAATTACTCAAAGAATTTCAGTAATTTAGATTTTAGTTCCAACTAAAAAAATTGAAATGAATAAAATGAAGTGAATAAATCAACTGATAACACATATAAAAACGATTTTTTTGTCTCTGAAATCTCTGTACTATGTTTTTTAAATTTTTAAAACGATTGATTTGAAAATTTAGAAGAAAATTAGTTATTTAATTGTTTAATAAGCTCCGAAGCATTATTTACGACACATCAATATACTTATTATTAAAAAACACCTTAGCAGTGAAAAATTCAGCGATGTTAGTAAATTCTGATGCTGATTTTGAGCGCTTTAAGAAACCATTTGTTTCAAATTTTTTATACGTAGATATTCCATAAATCTAAAATTGAATTTTTATAAGTTTCATTCATTGGTCTTTCATTGGCAAGCACTTATAATAATTTTTGCAACCAAAAGTAACACGAAGAAAGATTTACCATGTTGGCACTTTGCACTGAAATATTTTCAACATTGTTGGATTCAGAATCTGCTCCACAAGCTGTGAACACTCCAAAATTTCTTATTTCTTCCACATTCTACAAAATATTATTAAATAAAATTTCTTGCTTAATTCAATACTTTTCAAATTGGCAAAGCGATCTAGTTTGGGTGATGATTACATTAGGCATCATTGAATACACTCTTTCCAAAAGAGGCTCATGATATTTTAGTCAATTAATCATATATCTGAAATTTTTAAGAATTGTCGAAGTATGAAATGAATTTCAATTAAAAACTCAATAATGCTTAGTTATTTTAAACTTCAGACTTCATAAAATTCTAAGCATTATCGGATTTTTCAAAAGGAGCCTATTTTGCAAAATTACAATTGAATTCCAGTTTTCTGATAATTTTCGGTTTCCCTCAGTACAGCGGTCACTTATCAGTATATATTTGTTGCAAAAATTTGCTTGCAATGACATATAAAACGAACTAAAATTTGCGCCGACAATTGAGTGGTTTTATGTGAAGCATCAGATGCTGTGTAGTCTGGGAAGCTCTGTAAAATGATAATATCAAAATTAAAATATCAATGCATGTCAAGTTAAATGTTTTGTTGAAACTCATGAATAAATTGAATTAAGACAGAACGTTGAAAACTTTTATGGGAAGAATTTCAAAAAAAAGTTTTGCAGCAAAAACTGAGCCGATACTTATTTAAAATATTTGCAATATAAGCAGTGAAAAATTCATTAAACTGAATTGTTGCTGACAACAAATCACGATTAAAATAAATGTTTAATTGATAAGATAATTCTTTGACAGCAAACAGAGAAGATTATAAGACGAAACAATAATTGAAGTATATAAATTGACCTCAGATGAAAGAGAAGTAATGGTGACTTTAGAAAATTTTGGCGTACGATTTATTTTGGTTGCTTGAGCAGTATCATGAATACTTGATGTGGAAATCTTTGGATCATGTACTTTCAGTGGGCGCAAAATTGGCCACTCTATCTCTGCAGCCGTTGAACGTCTAAAGTTATTACTTTATGGTGATTGTTTACAATGGATTTTAAGTGACTATCTTTTTTTAATTCAAAATAGAATAACTATGAAGCAAGAAATTCAAAATTAATATACTACAGAGAATTATTAATTAACAAATGTGACGCCAACTTACTGTTTGCAGTCATTAAAAGGAGCATCGTACCTGAAAAAATGCTACCATGATCAGAAGCAAAATTAAATGGCATTCTGTCAGGTGTTACCTATTTGGAAGGGAAAAATTTTCAATTAATCACTTCTGTGCTGCCACTTTCTTTTTAAAATTCTAATAATAATGTCGATTTTGGAATCGTCACTGCAATCAATAATATCATTTACGAACACAGTCAATTTTTTTGTTTGTATTGATGCATTTTTATGAAAATAGGAAGATTAACATCATTCATTTTAAATTATCACTACTATTTCGCTATTTTAATTATACATTCACCATTAACTCATTAGGATATAAATAAATTAATAAATTAACAAACATGAATACTTTCGCAGCCCATAAACGAGCTTTTGTACCTTTAATTCGCAATTCTGTCTAAAAATTCATACAAATTCAAATATAATGAGAGATAAAAGATAAAAGGGTAAAATTTGATTTGTTGGAGATAAAAGGGTAAAATGTGATTTATAATATCAAAAATAACGATACTTTTTAACTTAGCACACATTCTAAAAAGCTTTTGAAAAAGAATAGAAAAAATGGAACTTACTCGTTTTCGAGTATGATCTTGAATTTTAATATAACAAACGTCCTTATCCATTCGAGCTTGGACATGCTCGACTGCATCCAAATGAATTATTCGCCCCACAAAAGGTTTCCTGCATTTTTTTAATCATATAATAAACAAAATTATAAATTAATGGAAGTGATTTTTAAAAACTATCTTATTATCAGCATGTAATATTACACATATACGAAAATACGAATTTAAAAAATTGGAAAAATGGAAATTACCCAGCTCCGATATTCTCCAGAAAATATTTATAGATAATTAAATGCCCACTAGGATTCAAAACAACAGTTCGCTTTCGCCAACGCCATCCAAATGGTGTAAGAGATTTTTTCTCGATGTATCCGAAAAGCGCAGATGGCAACGAGAAAAGTGCTTCCTAAAAGTACACAAATTTTAATTTTGCGAGTTATTGAAATGAATAATTATAAAAATTCCTGATTCGTTCTTCATGCTTTTGTTTCTTCTTAAAAAAATAAATTAAAGAATTATATTAAATCAAAAAAGTCACACATTCTATAATCAACAATTCACATATCATTTTTCATAAAACAAGCACACCGAAATTTGTAAAAAAACGATCAGTAAAAGAATAAATGAGGAAACGACAAGCTGTGAAGAATAAAAACCTGATCCGGCAAGGTAATGTAATCGTCGCTGTGTCTAAACAAGCGCATCTCAAATCATGCCAATTAACACCAATGCATACACTAATATAATCATACAATAAACCGCCCGTAAATCGACTGTCGTATTTAATGCACCGAATAAAATATACAAATTTTTTGAAGTCGCATGATCAGTTCTGATTTAACATAATCAATAATGACATTCCAAGCTGAAGATGAAATGAGATTGAATGACGCTAACTTTCATTAAAATATTTCTTTAATCATCCATTGGAGTCATCTGAAAATATTACTCATAAATTTGAAACAAACTAATAACAAAAAGTTTCCATCAAACTCTTATTGTTAAGTAGCGAATATTTTTTGATTTCTCAAAATCTTTTGCTAGTGTCAACAAAAATTTATGAAAATAACAGCTGTCATTTGGATGGATAGTAAGCATGGTGACCTCTGATTCCTTGACTGATTCCTTCAGTGAGCTTTATAAGAGGAGGGAATCTAAAGGAGAAAATAAATGTGTAAAATGTCTCGATGTATATCAATTGGAATACATCAATACATCAGTATCAGTTGGAATACATCAATAGCATCCAAAGAGTTAATCAGTTGATTGATCTTTTATCTATCTGGTGGTTTCATCTAATTAAGTGCCATCGGAAATTTTGACGTCTTCACATGATCTGTTCTTCTTGTGATATTAAACTAGTCATAACATTGAAAATGGATCCACTTGTGATGGATTTATGTTATCGCATGATTAGTTTAGATTCGTCTGACAACAGCAATTCCGGTTATGAATTCCAAATTCCGATATATTGCCAGTGAAAAAGAAGTTTGTTTTATTTCTATAAAGATACAAATTTATACTTTGAGATTCAATGAATTCTTGAAAAGAATTTTTTGCAACTTATTGATTGGAAAAGCGTCTTCCGGAGAAAAGAAGTTGTCGAGTTGAGTGAAGAAAAGAAAGCTGACTGCAATAAGTTAGCGATACGTTTGATGAAGAAAAATATCCAATCGAACTCCAATCAATTCAATTTGAGTTGAATTTTTTTCGGAATGCCCATTGTTCGACGTGTGATTAAGCTTTGGTTAAATAGCGAAATGGACCTCTCTCTTCACCAACGTCTACCGCGGGAATTGCATTTCTCGATGTATCTCATTGGTTTTTATTACGCATACTTCTCAGAGAGATTAATAATGTTGAACAATAATAAAATGCTAAACGTAATGTGGATTTCTGCTGGTGCAGTTTTTGTTTCAAAAAGCCTTTTTCGTTCAACAACAGCAAAAATTGATTATTATCATATAGTCTATTTTTTGTTGCACGAAGAATCCGATACAGAAATAATTTATTGCTGTAACGTAGATGATACTTCAGAAAGACAATCCTTTTGATTATCGATCATTTCACGAGTTAACTCATATCCCTCTAACGATAAGAGGTCAGTTTAGATGATTCATTTTCAGTTGGTCACTATCAATCTCCTGTAATCTGTCATTACTGTCATCAATTACGAAGTTTTGCTCTTTCGTAAAAACTTTTTAAACCATGCGGCTGTACCACATGTTCATAAGCTATGCTAGATAAGCTATCAATATTGTCAATATTGCAAACTGTCTACAAATTGCTCCAAGTTCCATTTTGAAGTCAAAAGAAAAAAAAATCACTCGCATTTGATTTTTCTCCAACATTATTCTTTAGTCTAAAAAAATATTACTTTTGTAGTTTTGTTGTTTATAACCAATTGGCAATTTCAGAAATTTCAATTGATATTTATTTCTTGCCATATATATTTGAAAAAGAGATGATACATGCTTGGAAAGGCAGAAATGTAAAAAGAATGCACACTTGTAAAGAAAGGAATGCATGCTTGTACGGGAAGTGCATGCTTATGAAGGAAATAATTCACGTTTGTGAGGTAATGAATGCACGTCTTCCACGAGACACATATTACATTGCTCAATACTTGTCACGAATTAAAACAAGTAAATTTTGTCCCTCTCAAGTACCTCATACTTGCTCCCTTCACTTTCCATCAATTTCTAACCAATTACGAAAGAACACAGTTTTCATTCATACCCCATCAAAGTGGCATAGAAAAATCACGATTTGTCTAAGTCACTATTATTATCCTGTGAAAATTTGGTTTTCATCCGGCAGATAGTACGGATGGGTCACGGTGATGTTTTGTTAGCAATTTAGCTTGAGCCTCTATGAAAATATTGAAGGTCTCGTTATTTAGATTCAGGAACACGTAACTGAAGAAGGGTTTTGATTGTTTTGTAAGTTTTGTAGCCGTGGAGTTGTTTAGTCAGATTGAACAGAGTGCCACAGATGGCAATTTCAGCTTACTTTATGATCCGTTTAATTGAAGTTGGGTAATTGAAGATCACCCGTCATGTGTATTAGTAATATTGAATAATATAATTATGGCTTTTGTTTAAATTTTAGGACTGCGTGAAAAAAATGACAAAGATCGTTAGGAATTATTATTTGGTTTTTCAATTTTGCAGTTTCGTAGATATTGTTAACATTTAGCAAATAATTTACCATGAAAGGTAAGTGCAAGAGAAGTAAATAACATCGGTGATATTATTTAAGTAAATAGCTAAATGGTTTCAATGGATGTATAATTGATAAAAAAGATTTTCAAAATTCTCATCAAGTGATCATTAATCTCTGAATGTCGATTCATAATCAACAAGGGATAGTTCATATTTACTATTTTGATAGAATTTCATTACGAATTATATCATTTTTTTTTAACTTTGTGGCTGCTTTGATCGAGTCTATTAAGTCTTGCGTTATTGATATCGCCATTCATCTAATAAATTATAATTTTGACAAAAGTAGATTAGCAAATTCAAGATAACAAATAGATGATTCATTTCGTGACGTAGGATTGAATAAGATTGAATTTGCTTAAATTACAGCGATCGTCGCCTTTTATCAGTTTTTTGATGTTGTTCTCCTAATCAGGAATTTTGGTTTCCTGAATGAATGTTTTTATATTTTAAATGGCTATTTCTTGTTCGCTAACACTGATTTTCAGTTCTTTGAGCAACATTTTATGAGTAAAGCAAGAAACTGGAAATTTTTTTCCAAAGGTTTACCATTTTTGGCAGTTGGTGGTGCAACTTTGTTACTTGCATATAAAATACAGCAAATCAAATTCGAATTTGGACCATCCTCTTGTACACTTGCTAACGCTGAGGAAATTGTACGTTGTTATTTTATTGGAAGCAAAAAAATAGAATAAGAAATATTAAAAGATTAACAAAGTTACAGAATTTTATGTTTCTCAGTTTTTTTTACGATTTTGGACTTTTTTTTTGATTTTCTGTAAAGAGAACATTATTTTTACATGTAGTTTACAGTCTTCATTTACAGAAACATTTATTAGATAGTTCAGATATCCTAGTTGTTAAATATTACTCCAAAATAGTGCCATTTTTCAAACGATGTTTTGAGCGGGAGCAATTCATTCTTAGGTATTGGATATAATTTTATTTTTCTATGTTGAAGTTGGTTCTTATTTATAAAAAAATATAGGAAGATGTGAACTCCAAATCAATGACTTTTTGTGGAGTTTTGAAAACATTATTTGGAGCTCATTTTCAAATTGCTACGTTTTATGTACATTACTTCACTTATATCGTCTGAGAGAATGTTTCCCTCAGTGGCATTAATGCTACGCAACTGCAAATGATTCATTTGTTTAATTCACTTAAGAAATAGATGTACCTATATTTAAGAGTGGCAGTAGGCTATTCTTTGTAATTATCAAATTATTAACATGAGACATCACGAATAATTTTTTAGAATCAGTTTCTGAATAACAAGGAAATTGGCAACGAGCAAGAAAATATAGAAACGATTTATCAGGTAGTTATCCTATTTAAACTATTCTCACATATCAGATGACTATTTATTAATGCTTCTTTATATTTAGAAACTCGTCACAAAAGACGGCGACAACTGGGAAAATATTCGAGGACCACATTATTCGGAAGACAATAAAGAATTTTTGCAACTGAAGTAAGCATTTCTGGACAGTTAGGTACTATTTTTCATGTTGATTTCTGGGCCTATACATTTGTTTTTTTACATATATCAGAATATAATTGCAGGAAACGTCGGCAGGAAGAGAGAGAAATAGCCAGAAAGAAATTAAAAGAACTAGAAAAAGCCGCTGTTTAGATGTCAGACGAGCTACCAGACGAGGATTTTCAGAGGTCAGTTTTTTTTGAAAAATTAATAAGTTGGCAGAATTTCACTCAATGCACTACACATTAAATTCATGATAGATATGCAATAATTGTTGAAAATATATTAGTTTTTCCTTATTCTCAATAAATGCTACTACAGAGTACATTTGCATTTCCATAATGTTCTGGTTTTCTAACTGTGCTTTTTATTTATGTTAAAAATATTCCCATGCAAACGGTTTTATTTATTCTCAAATAGCATCAGAAAAAATGATGTTTTATCACAGAATGCAAACTATTCGTAATGTAATTTTGAAATTGTTTTTAGGAAGAGCGAGATAGAAAAGCATGAATTTGCAGTGATTGTTAAATGTGATTGCATTCACTTTTTTCATATCTAATCGTAATCACCATGTTTTGTGGAATAACTATTTTTGCAGTATACCAGCAACTGATCTCGGGATAGGCTCGTCTGGTGATTTCAGTGAAGCACCTCCACCTCCGCCTGGCTTTCCAAGTACAAGTAGGGAAGCTGTTCGAGGTAGTGAGCGAACTCCTGTAATCTCATCTCCTGCAGGCTCCGATTTTCCGCACACCTCCACAAACGGTACATTTTCGCAAAGTTTTGTAGTTTCAATAATTTAATTATGTCAAGATACAAAGTTTGTTTTTTGACAAGGTTTTGTTTTCAGAAAGAGTAAACATTCAAATCATTGCCGATCCTACCATTGATCGTCAAACAAGTTTCCCATTATCTTCTGCACCTGCAAGTCAGAGTCAATTAACACAGCCTGTATTAGATCCAGCGAACTCTTCCATATCTTCCTTGGAAACTGCTGTGCCCACTCAACCTTTTTACGTTCCTGCGGTTCCAGATTTTAATCAAGAAACTCTGTATGCCACAGCTGAATCTTCTCAATCAGGTAAATTTAATAAAATTGATTTTAATGTATCGAAATAATCTTGTAATCTAAATAATATCAGTTTTGTTATGCTTAATTACGATGAATTTTGCGAAGTCCATCTTGGGTCCCAGTTAAAGAATTGTCAAGAAGCATTGTATGCTTGGCCATCTACTTCGGTTTGTACTACACATTTCATTTGTCAAATAAATTAAATTTTATACTGTTTGATGCAGTTGATTTTAATCGCATATTTTGAATTTGTTTTAGTGACATCAAACTTATTAGATCCTGATATTTCATTGGCGCAGGCATTAGTCGCTGGTACGAGTTGCTCGCATCCTGCCGACCCGGAAAATAAGGAAGATCTTGTGGATCCCGTTTTGCTAGCTGAAATACTGCAGTTAGGATTTGAAGAAGCTATTGCTGTCTTAGCTATATCAAAAACTAAAGGTACTTGGTTTTTTTTGTTTGCTCCCTCGTGACAAATTATTAATTATGCTTATTAAAAGATGAAAACGAGAGTAACGCTGACATACAGATTCTCGGATATATGCTTCATTTGCAACAAAATGTATTGTTTTTTGGGTGATATTTCTTCCAGTCAGTATTATTTGAATTACATTTTAATTTTTCAAATCCCACACAAATCATATTTTCAGAAATTGGTGGAGCTGAAGCAGCGATAAATTGGATTTTAGAGCACAGCAACGAAAGTGATTTTGAATCGGACGAAGAGCAGGGTTCAATGGGCGGTTTGTTTCCATATTTATAAATTATTGTGTTGTATTTTTCTGTTTATAGAGTGATGAATCAGTAGGAATTTGAATAGAGATATAAGATTTTATCATTTGGAACTGATCAATAATTGGTTAATGTACGGACTGATCATCAAAGCCCTCTTTCAATATGTACAATATCACATTTCGCCTGAAAAATGTTTAAAAGACTCATATTCCAGGAATTCATTCTACAAGTATTGTAAGTAGGCAATATAAAATGGTGTTCGTTGTTAATATGAGCCTTAAAATGGGATCAGGAAAGTTGGCTGCTCAAGTTGGTCATGCAACACTCGGTGTTTATCGGCTT